AAACTGTATTTACTAGTGATGGAAAATCTGAGGAAGAGACCGACCGGCAAATTGGAGTAGCCAGTGACGTTCTGGGTGAACTAGCCCGTTCCACTGTGACTAAGCAGAGCTCAGTGTGAAAACTAAGCTTTGTTCAAGTCTATCTTTATCCCCATGATTACCCACGATCATGAGCCGTGGACCATGACCGAAAAGCTTCGAACCCGGGTACAAGCTGCTGAAACGGGCTTTCTTAGACCAGTCGCCTTACGCTGGCCTTACGCGATTCGACATGGTCGGGAATACTGACATTAGGAAGAGCCTTGGTGACAGTGACATTCTGCTTCTTCAGATTACGATGTCACAGCTACGATGGTTTGGGCATGTGTTGCGAATGCCTCCAGAAAGGAAGGCTAAGCAACTGTTCCTTACAAATCCGACCGACAGAAGGCCCAGGGGAGGCAAAGATTAACCTGGTGCAAATTCATGGAAAGAGTCTGTTCTAGACTCTAGTTGTCTTCTGCCAAAACTGAGACTCTGTCAATAAATCAGGAAAGTTTGAAGTACTGTCTGACGGGTCGGCCTCGCGATTCGAAAGGAGAAGCGGTCACTGAAGATAATGATAATAGAATTTCTTGCATTTTTGACTTAAACTGGTGCAAAAACTTGCACAGATGTCCGAAAATGGATAAGTCTTTCGCTTCGCAGCATGAAAGACAAAGAACAAACTGCTTGCTTAAGACAGATCAGAGTTTTCGACCGCGTTCCTCAGGGAAGTCTGGACAGCCATCAGGAAATGCAAATGAAACCTGTAGAAAGTATTATTCGTTTAAAAACAACGCAATATTGGCCCAGCCTGGTTCCACATGTACCAACCACTCTGAATTCGGTCAACCAATTCTTGAAGAAAGCCCCTGAGATACGGGCCAAATCGGCGGTACAGGTCAATCATGCGATTGACCATATTAATTCCTGCGTCTGTATCAATAAACCGTGTTTTATGCTGTTTCCGGTACGACCACCAGCGTAGAAACGAAATACTCAATTCGGGCAACGCTAATATCAATTCAATCGAAAGCAAATCTGGGATATAAAACTACTTTTTGTCTTTGGTCTTGCTAACTACGGAATTCGATACGCTGTTCTGTATTTTGCAACAAACTTACTGTTCATTGGAAAAAATTCATTTCGTTGTGATTCTAATAAACTATCTGAAGCAATATGCTCTACGATGTCGACAGTTCTAGTTGCAAGGAACGATGGAGAAATCTTCTTTGCACTAACTCTTTACTGGAGCTACTTTCAAGCTGGTGATGACCAACAGCAGAAACTAAGGAAAATCATACGAAAATCACATG